CCCTGCTGCGGTATAATAAGGAGACGGAGATCGTGCGTCTGTTGGTCGGCGGACAAAATTCAACACACAACACTTTAGCATGTTACACATAAGTTAAGATCACTCAATGTAACGAGATTCATATTGAGTCCTAATGAATCTGGACAGATCAGTAGACTAATCCATCTGAAACTAATCAATAGTCTCTCCACTATCCAGTAGTCTGATGGGAGAAAGAAACAGGCAAACCAGACAAAGTGGTAGCCCCACCTGTACGATCTGTATTCTCTGTCGTGCATAGCTGATCATTGCAGTCACGTTCATACCCTCTGTCATAGCCCCTGTCATAAGCCCCTGTCGTTAGTCCCTTGAGGTGCGCCGCGGATAACCACCGCTACCTGCTACCGCCGCCACCGCCGCCGCCACCTCCTCCACTTCCACTACCACTACCACCGCCGCCGCCGCTGTAAACACACAGAATAGAAACGTTTAGACACTTGGGAGACACCACAAACGGTAGCTTATGGAAAATATCGCTGTTGTTAAAACAAAGCAGCCTGGGTTAAAAAACACTCACTATGTGGGACGTCCCATGTAGATTCCAGGAGTGGGAGTGTGGGCTCGTTTTGTTATGGAGAAATCTACTCGGATCCTACGCCCATCGAGCTCCATTCCGTTAGCACGCTCCTTAGCCTAAATCCCACAACAACACAGAGGTTTATGATTTCAGTTCATTACAGACACTAATTAAACAAATACCCCTTCTATACAGAGATGTGTAACATTCACACAGCTTAATATTCACACACTGAACGCCTTTATATGATGGCTGTCACTGTAGCTGAGTTACCAATAACAATAAAGTTATGTTTCACTTTCATATCTCTCATCAAAAAAGAATAATTAACATCCATCACAAGTTACCAGAGCCCAAAGTGGGGTATTAAAGTTGCTTACTCAACAGTTAAAACTCCAAACTATCCAAGTAGTTCTCATAAGAAAAAAAAAAAAGACTTGCTGTTTAATTGGTAGTAAAGAGTGAACATTATAAAATGTTAAAATGCATACATCGGTCTTATCTTCCTTACCTCCTTGGAGTCCTCAGAGTTTTCAAAGTAGACAAAGGCAAAGCCTCTTGAGCGACGCGACTGCTGGTCATAAACGATGTTGACGTCACTCAAAGGGCCGTATTTAGAGAAAACCTCCCTGAGATCCCTCTCAGTGGTGTACAGACTAAGTCCAAACACACCCAGGCAGCTGTTGGGGTCTGGGTTGGCCTGGGAGAGTAGAGAGAAGTGAAAAAACATTGTCAGCAAATGACCTGCCACATCATTGCAATAAATCCTGCTAAGTGAAGGAATGTGACGACTTTACAGTGATTTTATTATTTATGACTCATTTTAACTAGGTTTTGTTTAAGAAATGACATTTTGAAAGAATACAAACCATTTAAGGCTTTTAATCATGATCTTATCCAATCATGAAGACAATATGAAATTGTTAAATGTGTCTGTAAAGTTTCGTTAGATTAAGTATTGACAAAACTTCAAAGTCTGTGGAAACCCCAACCCAAAGAAGCACTAAATATGTACCCTGTTGCCAATGTGTCTGCGACGATTTGACATGGGGGAACGGCTGTGGCTCCTTCGTCTGCGGTACTCCCAGCTACGAGATCGGCTCCTGGAGCGGCGTCTGTGGGAGCGGGAACGAGAGCGGGAGTAGTGTCTGCGTGAACTCCGGTGGGAACGGGACCTGGGGATAGACACACACTTAACTCAGATAACATGACGTACCTGTGTCATGCACACACACCAGCCTCAGAAATCTAGTTTTCAAGTCCACATGTCACTACCTACCTTCATACGCACAGTCTCACCTGGATTTTGATCTGGATCGAGAGTGGGATCTGGACCTGGAACGTCGGGAGCCATCTTTGGAGCGTGCTGGTGAGCGGCTGGTGGATTTCCCAGAGCCCCGAGGGGATGCACTCCTCGAGCCGGGCCGTGAGTCCTGAACAGACCAGACACCGGGGTAAGAAACACTCTAAAGCCAAGTGTGTTCCAAACAACAAGTATTAAAGACCAGCAGGCGACTGTGCTTGCCCTTTACGTGCCACTTTCAGAAAGGCTTCACCACATTTTGCAGTTTAACAGATTTGACACTAAATATTTAAGAATTTGATTATACAAGATCACACTGCAAAAAAAAATAATATTTCAAATAGAAATTAATTTAGCTGAAATATAGATATGGTATGGAGAGATTGACCAGTTATGTTTCTGATAAAGAGAGGGGGAAAATCGTGCATGCTTAATAGAAAGAAACAGGATGAAATAGAGTAATAACATAGCAGACTGTTAGGAAATTACTCATAACGTTACCCCGGTAAACTTCTGATCTTAACTTCATAACTTCTTTAACTTCATTACTTCAAAACAACCCTTCATTTCTTCTTTCTTCTGTTTGACATTATGACTTCTTTTTTCCTCCTCTTCCCCCATTTACCATCTGCCATTACAACACTAGTAGTGGGGACAGATCTTGATCGCTTCTTTTCAGCATCCCATATATTAGCATGCATCAACACCATCAGCTTCAAATATTAATAACTTCACATCTGAAACGTCTTCCGCCTTTTTCTTTCTTCCAACCTCAACCTTAACAAAGAACAAACAAGGGTGATAAGGCAAGTTGGTTTCGGCAAGAACCAAAAAAAAAAAAAAAAAGGTACAAAGAAAAGCAGCAAAACCAGAAAAACAACACAAAAACAGCTGAATACACGTTTAGCTTATATGTTAGCTTGATATTATTTGATTGCTCCTACTGTGCTACTATGCAATACACCGATACAGACCTGACAAATCAAGTGGGTAAGGTAAATACTGTAATAAATTAGCGGCAAAATTACAGTAGCATGGCCAGGCGGCGGCCTCGGCTCTCTAACTAACTACGGGTTGTAGGCCGCATGTAGCTAAAGCTATCTAGCGTTACAGGTATTGTAATGCAACTACATTTACGATAACGTTACACTCCTTCCGATTACTCACAGAAACGTTACGGTAAGCCCTTAAATATACAACCGACCTTTGTAAAAGCTCGCCAGGCCACGTTGCCATTACCCGACCTGCATTAAACTGCGATGATAGCTAGCTAACCTTGGCTAGCTTAGCGCCTTTCCAACGTTGTTTTTCTGAACTCGTAATCACAACTCACCTGCTCCCTGAACTCTTTCTCGTTGTCACTCATATTATTGTAACTAGACAGTCGATGTGTAAAATAAAATATAAAAAAAGGTTCGCGGTTCACAGCATCTAACGACGGATTTAACCTAGTTGCATGCTGAATTTACCGCAAAGCAAAACCGGTTTGAACTGAACTAACGCTAAAAGCGGTCGTTATCCTCATCCGGTTTGATTTTCACAATAAAAGCGTATTCTCCTAGAGACTTTTAATTTGTGTAAAAACTAGTTTAAAAACTTTTTTTTTTTTTTACACAAACGCACAGGTATTTTTAAAGTCCAAACAAATAGTTTAAAAATAAAAAAAGTGTGTTTTTTTTTTATTTCAAATAGTTTTGATATCAATCGATTTGTTGGCGTCCCACTACATTTCAAGCAAGAAATAACAGTTTCAATAATAACATGGACTACATTTGGTCTTTCATTGCTACTGCACATTCTAAAATCCTGTTTAACAAAAATTATAAATGACCATTTAAGTCAGATGTACAGTTATTCCTCGCAAGTAGTGGCATATTAGTAATAACTTGGACATTGTTGCTTTGTGTGTAGATACCTACAGTATATCCTTCAATAATACAAATACACACTGGAGTATTGTATGCAATACAAAGAAGCACCTTTTTCTGTAGGCCCATGTTTGAATGATTCTCAATAATTAATTCTTCTTCATTAAAGCACTGTCTAAATATACAATAATATCAATGTAGTATTACTACTAATAGTAACAATAAATGTATTTTAAGTGGCTGCTTATATATATATATATATAT